TAGTTTAGTTTTTAAATCATTGATATATTTATATATACGCACACCCACAATTTCAAATTAAACACATACATAAACAAACATATCATTATCAAGGTCAAGCTTGAGACCTTTGCCAAGTATAGGAGATGGCACAACTATTAGGACAGTTGGTCCTGGACTTAAAAGGTCATTGCTATATTGAAGTAACAATCTAAAAAGAATGTTATATACATACAAACATACATATAAAGAGAGAGAGGATCATGTTAGCATTATAGTCCAATAGGAAATAAGCAAAGAGGTGGGATGACTTTTTGCCACTAAAGAGGAATATTCTCACATGATTTAAAAAATGTTCGCATTAGATGCCACCCAAGTGATGGGTCTATTTGTTTGCTATAGTGGGGAATGTATCTATGTGACTACAACACATCATGCCCAGAGTCCTGCCTACTTTTCACTGGCCTCATCTTTTTTCCCCCAACTTTTCCACGTATTAATCAATTTATATATATATATAGATAGATTAAATTAAATTGCGTCTAATTTTAGATTTTGAATTAAAAAGTGAAACATTATTGTCTCTTATTATATTCTGTATAAATGTCAAAATCCATCTCTTTATATACTTTTTTAAACACACTAAAAGGTCACTGACCTCTATTGAGATATTCTATCCCATCCTTACCATATTAGATAACCCATCTTATGTTGCTTTTCTTAAACGGTTTAATATTTAGACTTGGCTTTGAATCTAAAATAATATTATCTCTTTTATGTTTCAAAATGATATTATGTTTCATTTATATATATTGATAACTAGACACATATACATTTTGCAAGATCCAATTTGCAACCTTCCCCCCCTTTTTTTTTCCTTTTTCAATACAGCTATATGATCAAGTTAAATTCAAATATTATCTCAAGTGGCTTTTTCAAAAAAGTTTTTTTTCCTCATATTCATACAAACTCAAACTCAAAACTTTATATTAAAAAGTCATAGTTCCTTTCACTAGGATCAACGCTTATTGATAACTTTGCCTTTTCTCTAGCTCTTCAAATAAGATTTTTACTAGGTTTGTTTTTATTTTTTAGTGCTTATTACGCTAGTACAGATGTACTAATTTACACTAGTAAAAATTGCTTATTTAAACTAATTGTACAATCAGTGTAGATAAAATTTGTATAAAAAGCTTATCATCTACACTGGTATAGATAACAAATCAAGAAAATAAGATTATTTTTTTTTTCAAAATATCATTATCTACACTGGTTATTAGTAACCAGTGTAGATGTGTAATTATTTATATCAATTATGTTTCCAACTAGTGTAGATGTATGGACATAACCAATGTAGATATCTCGTACATCTACACCAATTGTAGACATAACTGATATAGAAAATGCATTTAAAAAAAGGTTTTTGTTGTTTTTATTTACCCTAGTCATGATAGGTTGTAATTTAAAACTTGCATTACAATCAAATATTCCAACAATCAAACAACCAGACAAAATTTAATACAATCAAATATTGCTCAAATCAAATGAATTATAAAATTTGTACAATTCCTATAGCTAGTCCAATACAATCAAATGGTGCTCATTCGTATGGGAAGATTATCTTTATTTTTATACTATTTTTACTGAAATAAAAATTATAATTTTTTTTAATAAATATGCTCATCACCCCTTGTCTAGATTTAATAAAATTTTGTTATTGATATCATTTTCATGACATCTTGTTATTGGCATTAAAATCATTGTTCAAGTTCAAGGCAATGCTTGAAAGAGAAGAAGAAATTGTTAAACTAAGAGAAAGGGAGATGGAATCAAGTTTGATTTGCGTTGGGTAGCCAAGAAAGCTTTTCTTGAGAGGTACAAGATTCAGACGTAAGAGGAATCAGTTTGGGTGTGATGAGGATGATAACATTTTTTTTTAATATTTTTAACAAGTTATTATTTTAATAGGTACATAATTTAAAATAAAGATTATCTTATACTCCATCTAGTGCAAAATATAAGTAGTTTTTTTAGGAAAAATCTACATACTAGTAAAATTCTTATTTTTATAAAAACATATATTGTTTTTTATTTTTATCCTTAATTTCAATTACCAATACACTTCATAATGTGTGAGAGGTAAATTCACATAATAATCTAGGTTAATAATTATAAGGGATAGAATGGAAATATTTTTTATATGTATTAGATTGCTTATACTTTGAACAGAGGTTAGTTGAGAAAAATGCATATATTTTGAATTGAGGGAGTAAGTAATTAATGGGATTAGATTTAACAAAAAGGACAAACCCTTTGTAACATGGCGATTTAATATTTAAATTTTTGGTGAAAGATAGGATTACATGTAATAATAAACTCCAAAAAAAGTATATTTCTAAATAATTAAAAAAATATGATTTTATAACTGTCACTCTGGCAAAAACTAATTTTTTTTAAATTTTGCAGCATTCTTATTAAATTTAAAACATTTATATTTCTATTTTTTTATTTTAACAAATTTAAAAAATTAAAATTTTATTAAAAAATTAAAATCAAATATGCATCGTACATGCATGTGGCATGTCCCGCGAGAGTTACAAAAGATTCCAATCTTCTTTCGATCTTAACGTATAGGCGGAAAAAGGAATGGAGACAATTCGTACAAGAAAAATCGTTTACGTCAATTTTCGTTTTCGTCCTCATTGAAACAAAATAAACAATTTTTTTAAAAAATATTGCTGTCATATTTTTTTATTTTGTTTTAATAGGGAATAATCACGTCGATATATAATTTAAAATAATAAAATATTGATGCTCTCCTGTTTCGCTTTTCTGCAATACTATTTTTTTCCTACAAATTTTGTTTACTAGTCAAAAGCACAATACTAAAACTCAATGGCTATTAATTATGCATTGGGAAATAACTACTCCTTCTATCTTTATATATAAAATATTTTTAATCATATCATATAAATTAATAAAAATTAGTTATCTAATTAAAAACATAACAATATTTTAATTTTGTCCTTAATTATCATAAATAAAAAATGAATCTCTTTTTTTAAAGTAAATTAATGAAGATATTTATTTTTTATTTTCAATTTAATAAGGATATAATGATCTATTCATTAAAAAATGTTAACAATCTTTTATATTTAGAGGCAAAAAAGGTTATAAAAAATATTTTATATATAAAAATGGAGGGAGTATTTTGATTAAATTATTAACTAAAACAGATTGAAAATGACTATTTTCTATTTGCAAATTTTTTATTTATAAATGAATTAAAAAATGATTACTTTTTTTTATAAAAATAACTATTTTAATTATAGTTAATTGATAAACAAATTACAGAAAGAAAATAATAATTTGTTACTTCGTTTTAGTTAAGTATCCAACCAGAGCAGTCATTTAATAATCATTAATTTTGTGGCACTTAATTGTGGTTTTCACATTTTAAGGATTTTCTTCTATCATTTTTTCATTAAAAAATGACAAATAAAGCAAACTTTTTGAAAAACATAATTTTCTGGAGAGAATAATGTAGGAGGAAGGAGGACCATAGCATTAATGTGAATGGGCATAGCTGGTGGCAGTTAGATAACCCATACAAGCACGAAAAACTCATGGCAGGAGCAAAGTATTCGTGTGGTTCTTATAACATCCTTGCAGGGTCTATATTTAAGTTTCTCCTTTCTCTTTAAAATATAAGAATTTTTTCACAGGTAATTTTAGTTTAAAATTTAAAGTTAAGTTACAATTTTATTTTTAAATTATTTTCAAAAAAATAATGTTGTCTCTAAATTATTTATTGTAGTAATATGCTATATAAACTAATTAAATCAGAGTAATGTTACTTCACCGTTAAAAAATGGTAAGCGTCCATTAACTGTAGTTAGTAGGATTCGCTTTTAATTTTCTCTATCCAATTAAGAAATGAATTATCCTTATTAAAAGTCACTTAATAGGATATTAATTAATTTTTTTAATACGATCCATATTTAAAGTTGTTAATTATGAAAGAGAATGTAATGTAAATAATTTTTTTTTTCATTTAAATATAGGTAAAATCAGACATTTATATTTTAAACAAAATTAATAACCTAACTATAGTTTCATAATTTTGTTGAGGTAATTAGAGATACCTTGTAATGGAAACCAGAGTGGTAATCATCTAATCTGTATATAAGTTTCTTCTAATTACCTCATTGAAGCTAATGAGCTGCAATTAAATTATTGATATTATTTGAAAAAGAAAGAAATTTTGAAATTTATTTTTATTAAATTCATCATATTTAAGAGCATTTTCTCTCTCATGCATAAACCCTTCACCCTACTTCTCATTAAAAATTACGAAAAATGTAAAATTAGAATTGGTTATTAAGTAATGATTTACTAAGTTTTATGTAAATTGATTTATAAAAAATGACTTTTTTTATATAAGCTGATTTATATATAGGAACACCAGAGTACATGTGTATTAGTGTGTATGTATATATATTATCATTTTATGTTATAACTATTCGTTAATTTCTGTCTAGTTTCGGATTGGTACTGTAGTATTGGTAAGTTTTGAACATAGCTTTTCTAGTGAACAACAGATTTGTTGCAAAAAGTGAGAAAAAAATTGCTAATATTCTTGTAACTTAGTAACATGTAAGCTCTCCTTTAAATGAGAGATTACGGATTGGATTTTACTTGTAACATGACGTGGTTAGTGCCTTATGAGGAAAAATGAGCAAGGAGATGAATAGATGCGATTGGATTAAGCAAATTATTTTTGTCTGATTGCAGGGTAAGCCGTTAGTGGTGGTGGTGATGGTTATGTCTCAAAAGAAAATTATAAAAATTTTTCTTGGCTTTTGCGTCAATTCAAAAGCCGAAATACTTGTGTGTGTGTGTGTGTGTGTGTGTGTTTTGTGAGTGTTTTGTGCCATTTTTGGTTCAGCAGTCATTGCTTCCTTCTTTGCTTCTTCTTCCTTCCACATCTTCTTTCTTATCTCCATAACGCTCAAGTATATATTCTTTCTCTCTATCTTCATCTACCTGCCTTGCCATCTTCCTGTTTCTCTGCAGTTCTCACTGTTCTTTTTCCTTAGATATACACAAACTCTCTCTTATAGTAGTCTGCTTACTTGAATCTCAAGCCCTTGTGTAAGATTTGGCGCTGTGGAGCTGGTGTGGTACTAGACTATTTGATTCGGCATTTTTGCTGTTTTTGACATTTGCATCCCTTTGCTTCTCTCAATTTGTTCATTTCTTGACGGAAATTTGAGTTTTCCCCCCTCTTTTTCTTGTATTCTTTTTTAAGTGTGAACTTTTTCGGGATTTCTCCTCCATTTCGGAACTTGAGATCTAATTGGGTTTCCCTTTCGTGTTCCTGGGTCTGTGGAATTTGAAATCTTGGGAGGTTTTTGCTTGGTTCTTGAGTTTCTTTTTCTCCAATTTGTACAGCTTTTGAATATTTTAAAGATTTTTTATTCCTTAATCTTGAACTCTTTTCTCTGTGGTGGTTTCTGGGAAAATTTTTTTGAAGAGAAGATCTTCAATTCAGTTTTGGACATTGATTCTAATAATCACAATAATTTACCTGAAGAACGTTGTGTTGGTCTTCTTTTTTTTTTTTTAAACTCTAATTCGAGCTGAAAGCCAGTGGTGGTGACAATCATTTTGTTGGAGGCTGTTAGACATAACTTGAGGTTATTCCTCATCCAATCTATGTTGCTTTCGTTTTGCAGTAACTCAAATCTAGCGTAAAACAATTTCTTTTGGACATTGAAACAAAAGAATGTTCTACTAGACTTGGTTCTGGCGGTTCATTGTACATTTGTAGCAGGCCTCTTACTTAGATGTATATTACGGGGTTTGTTACCTTGTTCTGCTTCATTATTCTTTTGAGTGCCTTTGGGTTAGAATAGTTTTCATCTTCGGGCTTTTTTACACGGAACACGGTTCTCCTGGGTCTCTGCGGCGTACTGCTTTACTGATCGACAATGGGAAATAATGTTTGTAGAATTTACACAGAATGAATTTCTGACTTTTTTATCATACGAATTTTGGAGCTTCAACTTTAATTTATTGTTTGAACCACAGCTGCAGTATTTCTTAAAAAAGTCATCCTAATTTTGCGCAAAAAATATGTTTTAAGGTTTACTTTCATTTATACTTAAATTTGTTGATAAAATTTATCTACGAGTTGATGTCTGATGTGCACTTTGGGCAGATTCCTAATAAGAGAGCAAGAGCAAGAGTTCAACTGATCGTAAAGTTCAACAATCGTTGAAGATGAGTCAGCCTAAAATCAAGCGCCGAGTCGGTAAATACGAGGTTGGAAGAACGATAGGTGAGGGAACATTTGCAAAAGTGAGATTTGCAAGGAACTCAGAAACTGGGGAAGCTGTGGCTCTCAAAATTCTTGACAAAGAAAAGGTTCTCAAGCACAAGATGGCTGAACAGGTAGTTTAAGATTTACTGTTGGTTAAATTTTCTTCCCCTCCATGTTGTATCAGTGCATTTAATTCATAAAAGGCTTACAGATTTTTGCCAGAATTGCTTTTCATGTCTTGAAAAAGCTTTCAAACAATCGATAAATCTTGCATTAAATTTTAGGTGTGGGTTTACAAAGTGAAGGTGGTTCTTGTCCTCTGTTTGGGAGCTTTATGTTCATCGTTTAGCATATATTCTGTTACAAAGCTGATCCAGACCCTCACAAACTGAAGTCAAATCTCTTGAATGCTTTTCAATGTGATTTTACAGATCAGGCGGGAAATTGCAACAATGAAGTTGATCAAGCATCCAAATGTTGTTCGATTATATGAGGTTCCTCTTTCACGCACCATCTTCTCTCTGCCCCACCTCCCTAAATTAAGTCTTCGTTTTGCTATTTGGTTTATAAATCTTGACAAAATACCTTGTTGAAGAGAGAAAGAACTGTCAACTCTCTATTCAACAAAATATCATTGTTGGCCTGATCATTGAAAGGTCTTGAATTATATTTAGAAAGAACTAGAAAAAATTATTCTTGAACTGCTGCTTGCTATCCCTGGCTGAAGTTACAAGTCCGATCATCTGACACACTCGAAGGTTTAACCAAAGCATTATTTTGAGTCTTTTCACCTAATTAAGGGGACATTTTCCTTTCCTTTTGTATATGATTGTATCAATTATTTCCTGTTGGAGAAATAAACAAACTTCAATTAATGGAAATCAGAGGATCTTACTTTATAAAAAAAGTATTATCATGATTCAAAACCTAGCTATTCTCAATGCTCGGTTTGCTTTGTTGCTAGCTTCCATTCATGATATTGTGTTATGCTGAACTAGATGATTCATTTTCAGGTCATGGGAAGCAAGACTAAAATATATATTGTATTAGAGTTTGTGACTGGTGGAGAGCTCTTTGACAAAATTGTGAGTAAACAAGTTTATATTGGTCCCATTTATTCAATCTTTTGCTTTTATTTTCGATTTGCTCGAGCACTTTTGAGGAAAAGAATAAAATAGTGAGACTGGGTCATATGCGTGGCTCCTCGATCTTATGAAGCTTATGATACTATAGTGCTATCCGTCCACAGCTTTTTCCCTATTTTTGTGTCAGGTTGATAGGCTTGCATTGAGTCTTAGTCCCTAACTGTTGTTGAAGGGGAAAAGATGTTACGCATGTTATCTAATGGACTTTTTGTTAAAGGTAAACCATGGACGGATGAAGGAAAGTGAAGCACGTAGATATTTCCAGCAGCTTATAAATGCTGTTGATTATTGCCATAGCAGGGGTGTCTTCCACCGAGACCTAAAGGTGGGACCTATTCTCCTGTCTTACCAGAAGAGTTTCACTTTGATATCAGAAGAATAAATCTCTTACACGGTTTTCATTCTTATTTAATAAAATTTTTGCAGCCAGAAAATTTGCTATTAGATATTTCTGGAAATCTTAAAGTTTCTGATTTTGGGTTAAGTGCTCTCTCCCAACAAGTCAAGGTAGTTATGCTTCATTGCTTTCTAAGGTTTACTTTTCTTTTATGCTTATCTTTGCTCAATATATTATTAATCCTGCTGTCAAGTCTACTGCTAATCCTTAGAGAGAAAGAAAATGAATCAGAAAGCAAGATCATTGGTTTTTTTTTTTTTAAAAAAAATTATTTTTAACATAACTATACATAGGCTAAATAGCTTGCTTTTAACACCATACATGCGCTTATCTTTATGCATGAATTCTGTATTGGCAGTTTTTTCTAGTGAAACTGGTAGATGATAATGCAGGTTTAGATATTAGACCTTTATTTTGGTAGGTGCTGTAAATTTAGAGTACTTTTTTACCTTTTTATGCAAGATTTTTTCCCTGTTATTGTCTTGTATCATTTTTTGGGTTTCAGTATCTTCTCTAAGTTGCATTGACTGTTTCCTGAAGTCTTAGACTTAATAAAAATAAATTTTCCTCCTCATCCCAGGAATTTTTTTTATCAGTAGGATATGGTTATGGAGATAAATTGTATCATTTTTCTCAACTGATACTGAAAGCGAGTGAGAATTCCTCAAATGAGCATTGTGTCATATCCTGTCTCAGAATCTGATCTCTAGTCCAATCATAATGGTAGCTGAGTTTGAGCCTGTGTTTAAAATGCTAGTGTAGAGTAGACTTGATAAAACAGTTTCAATACGTTCAAAGATCTCATGCTGCATCTTGCAATATGGTGTGTCTACAGGATGACGGACTGCTGCATACTACATGTGGTACTCCAAATTATGTCGCTCCTGAGGTGCAAACAAATACCATCCCACGCTACTTTGTTTTGTTTTTGTGTTTTGTAAATTTCAATCATGCCATGATAGTAATATGTACTCTTTCTAGACAGGTCCTTAATGATAGAGGCTATGATGGGGCCACTGCAGATTTGTGGTCATGTGGGGTGATTCTCTTTGTATTGCTTGCAGGTTACCTGCCTTTCGATGAACCTAATCTTGTGAACCTGTATAAAAAAGTGAGTTTTTGTGATTTCTTCTGAACAATTTTCCTGTTGCCTGTTAAGTTTCTGTTTATTACTTTCTTTTTCCTGATCCACAGATCTCAGCTGCTGAATTTACTTGCCCCCCTTGGCTTTCTTTCAGTGCCAGGAAACTGATCAGTCGAATCTTGGATCCAAACCCTGGAACTGTAAGAAATAGCACTTGATTTTCTGGTTATTTCATCTATTGTAAAAAGGCATATTTTTTTCTGAAAGTAAAAGCCTTTTCTGGTTGGCTGAGATTGACTCAGTGACACCATATCAACTTAATTTTTTGAAAGAAGCGTGTTGGAAAAAGAAAAAATATGAGAGAAAAATGGGTGACTAGCCTGTTTGGTTTTGTTTTCTTTTTTTATTTTTAAAAATTGTTTTGTAATATAGTTTTTAAAATTGTTTTTCAGAATAAAATAAAAAGAAAATTCATTTGATTGTGTTAATTTAAAAATAAGTTTTATAACTAAAAATAGGTTGATAGTGATAATTGCTAGTAAATTAATGGTGGTGGCTTATAATAGAAATTGATCAAGGTGACTGTAGTTTTTACTAATCAAATGAGATATATTTTGAAAGCAAGAAAAATAAAATGAAAACAACTTTAAGATGTTTCTTTTTTTTTTTGTTTTTTAAAACAAAAAATGATAATAGTTTTGGAAACCATTAAATTCAAAATACTTATGCAAACAAGTTTTTAAACATTTTTTTGTTTTTAAAAACAATAAGTTGTTTTTTTAAAACATAAACCAAACAGGCTTTAAGGGCATGTTTGGTTTCTATTATCATTTTTTTGTTCTTAAAAATTATTTTGTAATATAGTTTTCAAAATTATTTTTCAAAACAAAACATGAAAATTTGTTTAGTTATGTTAATTTAAGAACAATTTTATAATTGAAAAATAGGTTGATAGTTATTGTTACAGGCAGTTAATAGTTGTAATTTATGATAGAAATAGATCAAGCTAACTATAATTTACAATAATCAAATGTAATGTATCTTAAAAACAAGAAAAATAAAATAAAAATAACTTGAAGTTATTTCTATTTTTTTTGTTTTTAAAAGCAAAAAATAAAAATAATTTTGAAAATAATTAAATAAAACATACTCATCCAAATGAGTTTTTACATTTTTTTGTTTTCAAAAGCAAAAAACAGATTTTAAAATTAAAAAACAAATAGGCCTTAACTATCCTGTCTTATTGTTTTGTACTATTTTAGTAATCTATTACATGCCTAATGGTCTACATTTCTGATTTACCCTCTATTGCAGCGTATCACGATACCTGAGATACTACAAGATGAATGGTTCAAGAAAGATTACAAACCTCCTGTTTTTGAGGAGAAGGGGGAGGCCAACGTTGATGATGTTGAAGCTGTCTTTAAAGATTCCGAAGTATGTTAAAGCTGATCAGTAATATAGTTATGGTATTGGCTTCTGTCAGTTATGTGATGGCTATCTTATATAAAGGGTTTTGTCATGTTCACAGGAGCACCATGTGACGGAGAAGAAAGAAGAACAGCCAACACCAATGAATGCATTTGACTTAATCTCCATGTCCAAAGGGCTGAACCTTGAAAATTTGTTTGATATAGAGCAGGTTCACAACTTCACATGATAAGATGCTTTTATTGAATTGTGATGGAACTGTAGATTTACTATGCATTGACCGCGTGATATAAAAATAGGAAAAATACGCAGTCATTTGAAGTAATGTAAATATGATATAGGAATTGTATAACTTTTTGGGTAGATAAAGAAACTAACTTTTGTCAAAGCCATAATCTGATTTAGGCAGGAAATTTTCTTTTATTAGGCCAACTTGAGCAGAATAAGAAATTTCATGCTTGATTACTATTTGGATTTTTTATTCTGATGTGAATTATTTCAGGGATTTAAAAGGGAAACAAGATTCACTTCAAAATGCCCTGCCAATGAGATAATCAACAAGATTGAAGAAGCTGCAAAACCTCTTGGTTTCGATGTGCACAAGAAAAATTACAAGGTAACCCAAAATTGTGGAACTTATTATCAACTCACACTCAAATAAAAAAACTTGATCTGAAGTTAGTTTAATGTTTCTGAACCCACAGATGAGGCTTGAAAATGTAAAGGCTGGAAGGAAAGGAAACCTTAATGTGGCCACAGAGGTACACAGCACGAGTTTTTGTTATGTGGGAAAGTGTAACACAATTTGTCTAGTGTGATGTTTACTGTGTTTTATATTTTAAGCAGGTATTTCAAGTGGCACCTTCTCTTCACATGGTTGAGGTGAGAAAAGCAAAAGGTGATACGTTGGAGTTCCATAAGGTATATCATTCTTTCTCTTTGATTCTTTCATTGACGAAGTCCTTGATTGATTACTATAATTTAAGGTTATAAAGGTCACTTATGATGTCAATTTTTAAGCTGCTAGTGTCACCATTAGGCATTTTAGAATACCAATAACAATTTTTTTTTTGGGAAAAAATTCTTAGGTGTTATTTAAATTATTCAATAGAATTATCAAATGTTAAAGAATTTTTTTATCACTGTTCAATAATTCAATCAGATATGGATCTGAATAACTCCTGCTTCTATGAACAATGATTCTCCTTCCCATATTTCATTTCCATTTATGACTTTTGAGGTTTCTAAGTTGAAATTTATTTCACAAGAAACCTTTGCTTTACTTAATTTCATCCTCAGATTTCTGTCCAAATTACAACCATAAGATCTATCTTTGTAAAATGATAGGGCAAATTATTATATTATGTCCCTGCTAGTTACCAATTTGCTATCATTTGACCCCATTTCTTTCAAAGAGTCCACCACCATGGTCTTGGAGTTCTGTTGATAATTATTTTAGTCAATCTCAAGACCAAATTGTGATAACTATCTTTTAAAGACTAAATTGATCACTATCTTTCAAAGAGTCCACCGCCATGTTTTGCTGATGGACTGTTCTTTTGCTGAGGGATAATACAATAGGAATGAAAATCATAGAGACTAACTTGGAAATTGGTTCATTTATGAAGGATAAAAATAGGGTATTAGTGATAAGAGCATACTTTTTCTGGAATTCAAATACAAGTTTACTTGGAATATTATTGGAGCATACTTATATTTATTATTATAAGATATCAAAATGTCTCTTATTTTATATCGAATTTGATTATCAAAAGAAAAAGGAAAAAAAAAAAAGGAAAGTCAGAGCATTACAAAAAACATTAAAGAGGTGCCTTCTTACACACACTTTTGATGTGACTGAAAATCAAATTGTTGTTTGTACCTGTCTGCAGTTCTACAAAAATCTATCCACAACTCTCAAGGATGTCGTCTGGAAAAGTGAAGATGATATGCAAGAAACGAAGTGAAATTGTCGATATCGTTGTCAAGTGTAGTTTCTTGATGATGCTGTCATTTTTCCCGTTTCCTGGTTTAATTTTCCCAACAAACTACCTTGTTGGAGGTTTGGTTGGACATATCACGCATGTGCTCATCATCATGTTGCTTTCTGGGTTATTATTGTGAGAAAGCATGCATAGTTCATGTAAGTATTACCAGTCAACAGTTGAATCATATTAATGAAACATGAAGTTTTTTTAAGAAGAATATGTAAATCATATCTGCACATCTAAATTCCTTTTGTCAATGATATTATTAGTCTATTTCCCTGTGCTGCTGGCTTTCCATACTGTGACAAATAAGGGGAAAATAGAAAAGATTGTTTCTGTTAAATATTAATAATAAAAATGTGTTATAATAGATATTGGATATTCCAATTGTAATGTGAAGAAAAATAATTATGTTAAAAATAATTATATTTCCTAGCTAGTGCTATCAATCAAGCTGGCCATTGTTGAGTAAAAGAGGAGAGGAAAGAAAAATACTCTTTCTGTTCTTTGATGTTAGATATTTTTAATCAAATGATAAGATTGATGAAGGTTGGAGGTTAAAATTAGGTAAGTGTCTCAATTTTTTTATTTATTATGATTTTCCAAAACTACTCAAAATCATATCATTTTAATCTCTTTCTTATCCATATTAATCCCAACATTGAAGAGAGAGGGGTGATTGCATAAGAGAAATTATGACATTAATCGGGTGCACTACATCATTGATGGTCTATCTAATAAAAATATATCATTTAAATAGTATTAAATATAAATTGATTGTAATATTATTGATATTAGAAAAAGAAAATGCAAAAAATCAAATATGCGTTTTGTTATAAGAATAAAATCAATTAAAAAAATATCACACAAAATTTTATTTAGATTACTTAGAGCATTTTAATTGGATAAATTATAAATGATGTGGTGAATTTAGTCTACTTAAGTATTTCTCATTACATAATAGGCTTATAAAAGGCAACTTTGAGAAAAGTTCATAAATACTTCACTATTTTTTGCAGGAATGGGATTAGGATGGGTAAATAATTTTGGCTCTAAATGACTTTAAGATAATAAATGGAGGAAAATAATGTTTTTCCATATGATCAAACCTAATCAAATGTTTATAGTGAAAAATATTACTTCTAATAATACTATTAGTCTCTCTAAATATATATATATATATATATATAACTTTTTTCATTCAAACTTGAGACACAAAGAAAGTTATATTCTGTTTAAAAAAAAGTATTTAGGTTTTTCATATAAAAATTCAAATATTTTGATTTTTTTCTATTATTGAAAGATAGATTGCAAATGCACGCCAAGTTATTTTATTATAATTTTATTTTCTTGTTTGGTAACTGATTTTATTAATATTTTATTTCGACGACATCCGTTCAATTTGTTTTTGCTTCCTTGTTTTCTTCCTCCTCGGACCACTGACTATTAAAATACGCTCCCTACATGATTTGATTTCCTACAGTTCTGGAGATTTCAGTCCAAGTTTCGTTTCGTTGAAGATTTAAACAACTATAAATATTATTTTACTCTCTTATGCTTTGTTTAAATGACAGAGAATGGGATGAAAGAAAAAGAAAAAAGAAAAAAGAAAAGTGGCAAGAAAATGTCATTTCTTAGTATTTAGATTGGATGAGTAGCTCACTTAATGAATGTTTACTGTGACATGGTGACAATAGTTTATTTTAATAGATCAATTATAAGAAATTTTGTAATGTAATATTCAAAAGATATTAAATTTTAAATTTTTGGACGGGATAACATATATGTGAAGTAGTTTGTTTGTAAAGATTGTTTTAAATATTCAGAGGGAAATGCATCTTTATAATTTTTAAGTATTGATAAAATTTAATATTATAATTGAGATACTCATTGAGTAAGTGGATTTTAATTACATCCAAATCTCATTTTTTGTGTTTGGATAAATAGGAAAAATTATAGAAGTGAAAAGTGACTATTTACTCCATCCAGTATTACAAGAAACCTTTGATTCAATTGTAACCTTTAATGAGTTAGTTAATAATCTTTAAAATTATATTTTTTATATTTATTTTTATTTAATTGGGTGTGAAAACCTTATTAATCACACAATTAATTAAGGCTATTTTTGAAACAAAAAAAAATCTTATTAATTGCACTTTAAAAGACAAAGATGTCTTATATTTTTAATATAATACTTTCGAAATGCCTTACAATATTGTACACACAATCACAATTTTACTTAGATAGAGAAAATGTGGCTCCCATGCCTCCCCCCCCAACCCCTTGGGAGAAATTTTGAGCAGTTTATTTTCTATTCAAAATCTTTATTTTTTTAATGGAAAATTTTATGGAGATAATAATGGAGTCTCTTACTTTTTTTTTTCTTAGATATATATGTCTATTTACTAAAAGTAATTATATTCAAGATATATTCATTCACTAAATGCGAACCTTTGTTAGCAAAAATTCAAATATTAATTCGATCCTCTGCCTATTTTTCTTTCTTCCTTTTTCCTTTATTCAAATTAGAAATTTATTCTATTTTTTCTCTAATGTTATCTTTTTCTTATTTTTCTCTACATCTAAACATAAACCTAAATTTCGTAAAGACAGATGGTGGAGTTCATGTATTTCACCGGTTCTTATTATTTATGGTTTATTAGCAACGTAATTGGATATATGATTTAGACATTATATAGATGAATGGTCTAGAAACATATAAAATTTGAATCTGTCTCTCTCACACACACAATTTTATCGATAATATATATAAAATTGAATAACTTGGTCCACCTAAAGGCATATTGTTTAGTGTTTGAGTTGAAACTTGAAAATTAGAGAATACTCAACAATGAAGCATTTATCTGAATTTTGTAATTGTCACCATCACTATAACTTTGATTTGAATATGACCCTTGGTATTACCATTGTCAAGCTTTAAGGAATTTAAACAAGCCCAGACTAATTTAGATAGAGTTGAGTTAATATCTTATTGAGCAAAAGTTCTGTCATCAATGTTTTTGTATTTCTAAAGTTTAAACTGGAGACTTTTTATTAAATTAGTACAACTTACATGTTTATGAATTTTTTTTTCCTGTTTTCCTTGTTGGACTTGGCAACATCTTTAAAAAAAAAAAGAGGGAAAAATCACTCTTAAGCTCCACACAAGAATTTTAAATATAAAAAAATATCATAAAATTACAAATTTTATTCTAAAATCTTGTGTCCTTTATTCAAGTTATCAGTTACTGCTGGGTAGTTATTAATTACTATTGTCTAGTTGACAAGTGAACAACTTGATTAATAGCTATCCGGACATGATTGACAATATGAATAAAAAATACTTTTTCTGACTGAAATTATAAGATATTTTTTAAAAAAAATTTAATATCTCAAAATATAAAATACTTTCACAAAAATAAAATTTTATTAATAATATTTTTTTAATATTACCTTTTTTATTATTTTCTTTTTTTTAATATTCATTCATAAATAAATTATTAAATCAAGGACTTTTTTTAAAAGTTTATATTTTTTATTTTAAAAAAATAAAATTATAAAGTGTATTAAATTAATTTAATTGGTATGTATAATATTGTCTAAAAATATGTTAAAATTTAAAATAGAGGGGACATAAGATTTCAAAGTACTTTGAAAATTTTATGGGACTTTTCTGTATTGAGGTTTCTTATGTGGAATTTGAGGGTGACCAGGTAAACTGATGTCATGTGATATTTTGATTAGGTTAATTTCATTTTTAATTTGCCTTAAGCTCAATTGTGTCCGTGGATTTGTTAAATTGATAAAATTAATTAGTATTTGAGTCTTTCCCTAATTTCATTGACCACATTTACGTGTTGAAATTAAATTAAATTAAATAGGATTTAAATCTTGTAAAATTAGGAGTGGTAAATTTCTGTAAAGTTTTCTTAAAAAAAAGAAAAAATATTTTTTATTTTATAAAAAAATAATAAAACGAGCGAAAATATTAAAAAGGAACTTTCTCTAAATTCACTAATCTCAATTTTAAAGAATTTAAATTCAATTAAATATTTGGAGAAGAATCTTACGGGGCATTAATTACAATTTGGACTGGTCAATCTCATTATAATTTTGATTTCTTTGGTTCAATTCCCTTGTTTAGATGATTACGTCCAGATTTCATTAGAAAATAAAGTTTAAATTTTAATTTAATTCCTATAACATTTTTCTTAGCATTCATTGACTTTTTTATCCACCTTTCAGTGATTCAACATTTACTTTTCAGGTAAAAAACATTTACTTTAAATTATCTGAAAAGTATTATGCCTATAGTATCTTTGCATTAAATTTTTTTTCCCTTACAACTAGCTGATATATGTTTAATTATTTGAGTATTATTTAATACTTAATATATAAATTTATTGATGAAAACATGTAACATAAGCACAACGCACGAAGGAATTTTTTTCTTTATTAAATAACTTAAAATTAAGAATTAATGCGCTGAACTTAATAAATCAATGAAAAAGCATAACTTTTTAGGTTAGCCTGTAACCCAAATTAATTAACTAACTCAATTTTATACCCATGCCATGCGCGTGATATTAACATTCAGTTGTCATATAAAGGAAGAGAGAAGAAAGAAGATTTTAATAAGTTCAATTTATAAAAATGAGTAGAAGGTTAAAATTTTTAACATAGATAAAATGCAAAGGATATGGTTAATGAGTAAATAAAATTGCTTACAAATTTTAAACCACACATATCTATATAATTATAAATATTATTCAATGCTCTTCATTTTAAATTAAGTAAGGCTTTTAAAAAAGGTCTTATATTGTAGTCTTGAAAGAATATTTTTAACATTGGTTCCATATTCACTATTTATTTTTTAATTTAGGTCCCATACCTACCTTATTATTATGCCTCATAATCTTCTATTTTTATTTACTATATAATAATTTAAAAAATTACTATAAAAATATTTAAAAAAGGACGTGGGAAACTACAATAACCATCCAAAGCAAAATACAACAGAGGGGAGATTAAAAATTTAGTATACTTCACACAACTTTAGATATTTGAAGAAATTTATTGCGAAATTTGAAAGCCAAAAGATTATTTACACATAACCAACTTTATAAGAAGCTTCTGTCCAAAAAAAAAAAAACTTCACGAGAAACTATTTTATTTTTTTGATTTTTTGATTCCAAACTTCATGAGAAACTATTCCGAACCAATATTATAAAGCTATTCTGCACCATTCTAAGGATCAATTTGATTATCGAAAAAGAAAGGAATGCAATGAATTAAAACATAAAAGACAAAAAAGATAGAAAATGTGAAAGAAAAAAGATAAATCAACAATGTTTATGGGAGAAAGGTAATTTACGATTGGAAATCATGATTACCAATCATGATTAATGAGATTAGTTTTAGAAAAATTAATTTTTTAGTCCTCCAACTTTTAAATCACTTGTAACTCAATCCCTCAACTATCACTCGCCTATGACTCAGTCACTCAACTTTTGAATCACTTACAAATTAGTTCCTTAACCTTTATTAATTTTTTTTTCATGTTAGCTTATATCTTACATTAATGAATAAGAAGAGGGACTGAGTTGTAAAATAATATATGAGCATTTTTTTATTCCTCTTATTTGATAAAAAAATTTTAAAAAAAATTAAAAAATAAGGACTGAGTTATAGGTAAATCAAAAGTTGAGGGACTGAGTTGCAGCGAGTTATAATTAAGGGACTGAGTCATAGTTGAGGGACTGAGTTATAAGTGAGTTAAAAGTTGAAGGACTAAAAGATTAATTTTCCCTTAGTTTTATTATGCATTCATACTTTTCATGAATAGAAAGGTGATTTAATTATTTTTGCTCACATTTTTTTAATCAAATATATTCCCAATTTTTTCAGTAATCAAACGGGTCATAAGAGTTATGGTAAATTATTCAATATGGATGAATCATTCAACAATAACTTGTACTCTACTCCTATATCCATCATTCCATCAAAATAAAAAACTTAAATATCTATCATGATTTTTTTTTTAATGTAAGAAACGGTGCCAATGACCAGTCCATTATGCACTTTTTTATTATATCAAGGGTAAGTAAAAAAAAATTAAAATTAAAAAGAGGAAAATGATGATAAAATCTTCCCAAACTATGTAAATGATAATATGATTCATCAAAATGTTATAATTTCATTGAAATTCCTAAGATTTCAATAAATATTAAAGTAAAAAGATCATTTTATCTTTATTGAAAATAACAAGCTCTAATCATAACTTTTATTTAACGAATAATAATTTTAATTTTGTGAATCACAAAATGAATAAGAAATTATAATTTATTAAGTATAATTTTTATCTCAAAATAACATGCCCCAATTATAACTTTTACTTAAGAAATAATAACTTTTATTTTGTGAATCACAATAGTTGAATAAGAAATTATAATTTGTTAAGTGTAATTTCTATTATTAAAAACAAGTTCTTAAAATAATAAATCTCAATCACAACTTTGTTTAAAGAATGAGAACTTTTATTCAAAGAATCGTAAGAATTGAACAAGAAATCAAAACGTATCAATAAGAGTAAAATGGTATTTTTAATTTAAAATTTATTGACACAAAAATTCTTAAAATTTTTAGTGAAATTATGACATTTTGAGGGACCGCATTATCATTTATATAATTTAGGAGAATTTTATTGTCATTTTTTCATTAACAATGTTTCAGAGTATATTTTACACATTTTGAAAAGTTTTGAAGGAAATATATTCAATTTTCCCATTATGGAAAAGTTGTAATATAAGATAGAGAGAGAGAGAGATATATATATATATATATATACTTTTTTGGGTCGAAAACATCAGGATGGGCCTGGGGAGTTCTATATTGGGCTTGATTGGGCCTTGTTTGGTAAAACGTGAAAATTGTGATCTACTATTCCTTTTTTATATTTATATTTATTTTCGGCCATCACTTTTCTGCTTTCGTTTACTTGCCGTCCTCTTCAGTCGCCCTTGCACCCAACCGGCGATGGGTGTATCACTTGCATAGAGGTCTTTCGCTCTTATTCTCGGTATGTCTCTCCCCCCTCCCCCCCTCTCTCTCTCTGAGCTTACCGTCAATTATAATATCGACTTGAAATCACTTCGACTTTTTTCTTTTATTTCCTTTTCTTTTTCTGGTTTCATTTCTGTGAGCAAATGATTCATTCCTCAAAATCTCGGTGAGGGGAAATAGTGCGCGGTGCTGGCTTCACTGCCAACGATTACTCATTCAACAATGTTAATTCTCTTTTGAGTTTTCGTTTCCATGAAAATTTTTGTTCCAAGGATCACTTGTGAGGGCTAATTAGTCACAATCTCAAACTTCTTGGTTATCTAATTGTAGATTGTATCGATCTTATCCGCAATTAGGGTGCCAGAAACTTTCATCAAGTCATACTGTTGTTGAGGTGATCTTTATTTGTTATTCTTTTCTTTTTGTCGTGGTCGAAGGTTTATCTAATTTTCTTTTATTTTGTATGCACTTCTTTCCTCCAACCTAAGCCGATAACGCAACAGTGAGGACAGGAGAAATGATGGTTGGTTAGACTTGTATTGAACTTATAGAATGATATGCTCTTTTTTTTTTTTTTTCCTTTTTTAATATTTCTTTTGGTTTGTATCTTTAGCATACCCCTTTCAACTGTAAGATCTTTTTCTGTTCGATTGAGTTATTTTTGTCTTTTTTGAAACTTATTGATTATTTGACTACTTTTTTGTTTTTCCTTACAGTCCCTTGGTGCATGATCAAGAATCTGCGTTTGCATCAGAGATGGTTGGGAACCCACTAGTTCAGGGCTCAACAATGCCAACTGTCTTGTCTTCATCTTTACCAATCTTACCAGGGAATTCTCTTAAATGCATTCCTTATCTTCCACCTAGACCTCAAACAAAAGTCAAGAGTATAAGGGCCATGTCTGCTGAAGCAGGACATGGTCAATCGCCATCTGTTTCTGAAACGAAGAGTCCACTTGCAGTTGTTTTAGATGTACCTCGTACTATTTGGAAGAAAACATTGCGTCCATTAAGTGATTTTGGGTTTGGTCGTAGGAGCATTTGGGAAGGTGGGGTTGGACTGTTTCTTTTGTCTGGTACAGTTTTATTTGTACTTAGTTTGGCCTGGTTGAGGGGTTTTCAAATGCGATCCAAATTCAGGAAGTACACAGTAGTGTTTGAGTTTGCTCAGGCTTGTGGTTTAAGCACTGGAACTCCTGTGAGGATTAGAGGGGTGACAGTCGGCAATGTCATTCGGGTGAATCCTTCCTTAGAAAGTATCGAAGCAGTTGCAGAGGTGATTTTTATAATTAGCTTTAATCTTATCATGAATATGCAACTGTGTTTTGCTGTTTTACCCTTACATCAACCATCAAAACTTGTTTGGATTTGGACTTCATTGTTTTAGTTGGTGCATTATACTAATTCTTTATATTTTAATTTGCAGATTGAAGATGACAAAACAATTATACCCCGAAATTCTTCAGTTGAAGTTAATCAGTCTGGCCTTCTTATGGATACTTTGATAGACATTACACCTCGAGATCCAATACCAACACCAACAGCAGGACCTCTTGACCAGGAATGTCAGAAAGAAGGTGTTATTGTGTGTGATCGAGAAAAGGTCAAGGGGTACCAAGGAGTGAGCTTAGATGCATTGGTTGGGATATTTACCCGCATTGGACGAGATGTTGAAGAAATTGGTGTTTTGAATACCTATCTCCTTGCAGAACGAGTTTCTTCTGTCATTGAAGAAGCAAGACCACTTCTTACAAAGGTGTGATGTGCTATTGTATGTCCGTTATGCATCATTCATGCTAGTAAATTCTGTCAACTAGATAGACAATTTTCTTTCATGTAAAACTTGGATAATTGCATGATGGTACAAACTTGTTATCTCTCAACCTTGCATTGAGTCGTCGTTAGTTGCCACCTGTAATATTTTAAATCATTACAAGAATGTTGATCCCTTATCTGTTTGAGAAGATTGTGTGAGAATTGAATCCTATTATTCTGCCATTATTATATGATATATATGTAAGGTAGTGAATAAATTTACCATAAAATGCTAAATTTGAGTATTAAGGAATTTAGTGGACGGAGCATTACATGTTTGGAACTATAGATATTTTGTCACTTCTGGGAATTTGCAATTCATGTTCTTGTATGTTAAGCATTCGTAGTTCTCAAAAGGAAATCGTTTTGGTTGGCTTCAGATCGTTTATTAGTAACTTAGAATTATTTCAGTTAATTGTCTTTGTTTGGACCACTCTAGCAGTTTGCAGCGATGCTACAGCACTGTAATTATGGACAAATAGGTGAATGAAATGATAATGAGAACTTTCTATAACGTTTATCCGTGTTTATATGTTTTCTACATCTTTTTGGTATCCATGTATCTTACTTCTATTGCTGGAAATCCAGGGCTTGTTTGTTTAAGCTTAGAAAGTGATTTAGTTGAACTGCATGAGGGAGTTTTTGGAAAAACCTTAAACTAAACATGAGGGGTTATTGGAAGAAAATCTGTTTTCAGCTTATTTTGATAAGTGATTTTGATTAGCTTATCAAAATAAGGTGAAAACAATTTTTATTTTATTATTATTATTTTTGCAATAGCTCCTCATGTTAGCATAAGTTTATCCCCTCATGTAACTTAATCAAAATCACTTTTTTTTGTTAAGTTCAAACAAATGGACCCTTGCATTCTTTTTGTGATTATTCTGTCATGCATTCTAATACCTTTGCTTTTGGCTTTGATGTAGTGATGTCCCAGATCAAAGCCATGGCTGAAGACATTCAACCTTTGTTAGCTGAAGTTCATAATAGTGGTCTGTTGAAGGAAGTAGAGAACTTAACCCAAAGCCTTACACAAGCCTCAGAGGATTTGAGGTTAGTCGTGTAAATTCAATATGCTTGCACACATGCAACTGCGTGACACATTGACATAAGTGGAGAAAATGACAACTAGCTCTTTAACGTCTGACCTTGGAATAGATTGAGGAGATTTGGGGCAAAGACGTGGACAATGGTTCGGAGATTTTACTGTCTTCATAGTTCTGCAGTGGTCTATAAATATCTTGATTGCATGAAAGCTCTTCATTTCTTTATTTTTTTTTCTTTAATAGAAATATCATTTTTCTTCCACCAGTATTCTGTATCAGTAATATCAACGGGAAACTTAACAATAAGAAATAGGATGTAAGATTCTTGAAATATAACCAGCAGGGATCATCTTTAAATTTTGGAGAGGAGTAAATTCATCCATTATGACTGAACTGATTTTTAGAAGTTCATTTATCTTCTATTTTACCCTGCAAGTCCTTTCTTGAAGTATGACAACTGATGGATATGATCACATGTTTATGCAGAAGGGTTAACTCTTCCATTATGACCCCTGAGAACACGGAACTAATTCAGAAATCCATTTACACTCTTATTTTTACCCTGAAGAACATTGAGGTAAGAGTAAGACCCTTTAAAACTGCCCAAGGTTTTAACTGATGATGAATAACTTTTCCTTTTTTTTTTAATTGCAGAATATCAGCTCCGATATCCTTGGTTTTACTGGCGACGAGGCTACAAGAAAGAACCTAAAATTACTTATTAAGTCTCTCAGCAGGTTGCTCTGAGCTCTGAGGTTGAATTCCAAGTGAAATATAATTGCTTTTTGAGAACTAGAGTCATATATCTCTTAATACATGCTTCTACTGCTGCTGCTTGATTTTCCAATGATGGGCAGTGATTTGGCCTCTGGTTTTTGTGAAGTTAAAGTATCATCATTGAGACATTGGGGGATGAGGGGATTGGAGTTGTGAGGGGAATGGTATCTTATATTACTCTCCTTTCAATATCATTGTATCACAATTTGAATTTGACAGTTAATATTCTTTTAATTAAGGCGAGTCTCACTCTCAAGTGAGGGTACCAAATTCCAATTCTTCAACTTTTACCTTTGTTTTTGTTATTTTATTTATTTTGGTGGGGTGAGGCGCGCGTAAATTTTAACAATGTTACGAGATTGGTTATTAAATCAATCGAGACACAAGTTTAAAGTTTAATTAGCGTTGAATTAATTATTAATTATAAATGTTACATTAAATTTTAAATAATATATTGTTAAAATAAAAAAGAAATAACCATCGATAGTAATAAATGTAATTATTAAATTCAAATGTAAGTAATATATAGTTAAAAAGAATATCTATCAACACTTCATATATTATTCTTTGAAGTTGCGTGTATGCGAGTATCTGTATGTATATATTACAATTTGAGAATATATATATATATATATATATATAGCCCAGTTGTCCATTTTCTTTATTTCTCAATGCTTATTAGTTATTTGGTATAATGTATAAATTATACTCTCTCTGCTAAAAAATGCAAGTTTAGAAGTTGGATGTTAAAAAATATAAAATATTTTTAATTTTTTGAAATATAATTATTACCTTTTTTTCAAAAGTGCCCCTATTGATAATGATTTTATATTTATTATAGGGTGTTTAATAAAAATAAATATAAAAATATAAAGTTAGTTTAACAGTAGATAATTACTTTATTGAGAGGTGAGATTTGATTAAAAATACTTTATATTTTTTAATAGAGGGAGTAGTTTAAAACATGAATTGATTTTTTTTTTCAGAAAAATGAAAAATGTGTGACACGTTCAACCTTTATTATTGATTTTGACCAGTTTAAGGCTAATTAGACCAGTTTGGCAGCTTCTCTCCTTCCTTCATGTTAATCTTTTCTTCATCAAACCAACCAATCCTATGGACCAAAAAAAAAAAAAGGAAAAAAAGTATCTGATAGATTTTAAAGAAATGATATGATCTTGAGGTGAGGCCTGAGTGGAGCAAAATTCCATTCAGTCAAAAGTTAAGTGAAAAATGAGCTTTATTGAGCAAGATATAATTGATTGGTCTTGAAGAATTTTCTCTGGCTAATTATTCTCTCACAGAATAACAAACATTCGTCCCCCATACTGCATCTTCAAGCTCTAGATCTTGTATACATTTTTGTTTTTAGTCATAGATCTTGGGTACATGATGATGCAGATTCTCAGAATTAGTTATTTTGCTTTATTTCATTTAGAAATATATGGAAAGAAGGACGGTGCAAAATAGCCATTTAAGAGATTAATTTTTTTTTAATACTAAGAGATTAAAATTTTTGTCATCCCTATGTGTGTGTAAATATATATTGTGACATAGCAAGACTTAATGTAAGAAAAGTTATAGGAGTATGAACTTACTTTGAATTTTATGAACAATAAATATATCCCTTCTACACTTCTAAACCATAAATTGGCGTAACTTGGTTGTCCTCCAGCATGTATATCTCTTCTAGAACATCTAAATATAATTATTTTGTTATATAAAAAATATAATTGCACTGTACTCTAAGGTTTTAATCATATATATGTCGATTTAATATAAATAAATGTACTTTTTATTATAGTATATATTAGATTTAATTGAGAATTTTGATAAAAATGAAGTTTAATAAATTTTATTGGTTGAAAAATAATTTATGGTTCATCAATTTAATTTGATTTACAAACAAGTCTTTAATATTTTGTTAGGGTGTCAAAAAGTTCCACATCATGAATATAGATGATAGGCATAAAAATAGAAATTCTAGTTGATCATACTCTTAATTCTTAAAGCTTTTCCAGCTTTTGAGTTTCTGATGTAATTGGCTTCTGTCATTTTGTTTTTATACAGTTTTAATAGAGCTGAGAATATGGGTCAGGTTATGTGAGTTGGCCCAAACAACCGGTTACGAGGGTCGGGTTTAAGTTGAAAAAAAAATTGACCTAAATAAAAATGAAATTTTTCTTTGTTAGACCATATAACTTGTGAACTATATAGATTAGGTTTGACCTGATTAACCCATATTATTCTTTAAAAAATTTAAAAAAAGGAAAAATTTTGTGGATATAAACTTTATTAAGCATGACTTACTCAGCTGAATTAATTTATATATTTTGTACAAACATTATAAATTAATATTTTGATATATTTAGAATAAATCATAAAGAAATATCAAATTAAAACTTATTATTTAAGTATATTTTTTAAAAAATTCATAAAAATAAATTAATAAATAAATAAATATATGGATTGATGGGTTAGTCCATTTAACCAGCCAACTTTTAAGGGTTGGATTAGATTGTGATTTTTTAACCCATGTAAAAATAGGTTGAACCCAACTCAACCTACATATCTCTTAACTCATATGACCTGAGTTGGCTCATATTTTTATATCTAGTTTTAATCAATGAATTTCTCCTTTCTGCTAAAAAAAAATAGAAATTCACCCACCAACTTAACGATTTTAGATCAATTTGTTGGATCAACTTTATATATATATATATATGTTAAATGAAAAAAATTTAAGTGAGATGGATTATAAAAACTCATCAAAATGATAACATGCTTTTGGATTCAAATAATTTTTATGTATGTACTTATTGATTATCCATCAATAAGATCTTTCAATAATTCAATTAATAGTAGGATTTTAATCTCCTTTAGTTTTGTGAATTATGAGTTTAATTCTTATCAATTAAATTCAACAAGAACAAGTTTTTTTTTTTCATTTTTTATTTTTGACCAGCATTTTTATTTTTTATTTTTAAAAGTAGTATGAAGTATCTGGAAGATAATGATAAAGGGCATAGAAAAAGACATGGTGGGGCTATTGGATTGACAATTGACTGGTGAACTTTAAGATTATTCTTTGCCTTGTTTGAACTTTGTACTATTATCCCTTCAACTTCCCACAGATAAATGAAATCAAATTCTAACTTCAAATTGAATAAAGATCAACTCTGAATCATTTGTCTCCATTCATCCCACTTGGTCATTGTTGCCCTCACTACTAGTCTCATCTTGACAAATTCTCACATTTGACTGCTTATTTCATTATTGTATCATTATCAACAACCATATATTGGTGGTCATCATTTACTCTAAAATTTTGAGAAATCAGGCCATTTTACATAATTTTACTATAAATTTTGTATTGTATTCCCTTTAGTTCTTAATATAAGGAAAAATTTGCAAAATTTTTTAATCCTTAATATAAGGCAAAGTTAGAGTAACTAATTTTTTTCTTCAATTTTATCCCTTCTTATTTATGAAAAAATATATTTGCAAGTTTTTATAATTTTACTTAATTTTAAATTAGATCTCTGCAGCTTATTTTATTTTAATTGAGATCTTATAATTTGATATCTTAAATTTTTTATCCCTAAAGGTTAAAATCCTTAAACTTTTCCTTTAAAAAAACAAAATTAAAACGTTTATATTTTTATTAAATTATTATTTAAATTTAAAATTAATTACATAATTTTTATAACTCAAAATTTATATAATTTGATTGTCTTCTAAATATTTTTTTATACATATAGAATATTCAAAAAATTGATAAAAATACAAATAGTGTATTTTCTAGTTTCAATTTTCACTAAAAGTATGATACTAAATTGTCTATAAACACTAAAAGTATCTTTGTTTTGTGAAGTCTAATAATTTATTATTAATTTTAACCTTAAGGGGTTAGCACGTACTCTCTCTGTTAAAAAATATAAAACATTTTTAACCGAATCTCACCTTACAATAAAGTAGTTACCTACTTTTAAATTAATTCTATCTTTTTATATTTATCCTTATTAAATACTCTACAATAAATATAAAGTCATTCATTAATATAGACACTTTTTAAAAAAAAGACAATAATTACACCTCAAAAGACTAAAAATATCTTACATTTTTAAACATTCAACTCTTTAAAAAATACCTTATATTTTTGAACAGAGAGAGTATAATAAATCAAACTATAAAATTTTGATTAAAATAAAATAAAATACAACAATCTAATTCAAAATTGAGTGAAACTATAAAGATATACGAATATATTTTCCTTTTATTTATTTATTATTATTATTTTAATTTCTAAACAATAATTTATTAATGGAAAAGAAGGGTAAAATTGAAATGTTACATATTTTTTAAAACAATTTTAAAGATATAACTACTATTTTGTAATAAGTGAAAAGTTGATTAACTCTGCTTTATATTAAGAACTAGAGAAAGTCTAGCATTAGGTCAAATGGAAAAACTTATATACTTAGCTTTATATATTTAAATTACTTATTTTTAATTAAATCAAAACATATGGATATTGTATAGATTGTTTATTTTATAATAAACTCTTTTTATTCAATATTATGAACATATTAAAATACATTAATCTTGATTTAATTGGATAAAAGTATACTTTCTCCAATCCAAAATATAAGCATTTCCTCTCATCTAATTTTGATTCAAAATACAAGTAATACTACATGTAAAAAAATTTCTTAATTTTGCCTCTTATATTTATTGACCTAGATATTTATATAAATGTATCTTTCACTTATCAGTCATCATAGAATGCACTCGTAATTGGGGCCTAGAATAAAAAAAAAATTACAAGAATGGGGACTTTTTTGATATGTAAATTTTTTCCAAAAATGCTTATATTTTGGATTAAAAAATATTAAATATATAATGTTAAGTACATAAATTTTAAAAAAATATGTTTTTTTTTTCACTTTAAATTTTTCATTTTTCATTTTATTTAATTTTTATTTGATTTTTACTTATAAATAAAACATTTAATTTTCAATTATATGTAAGACATTTTTTTACGAGCCATGAATTTAAGTTTTAATGTAGCTTTCAAGTTGCAACTAAAAATTTTTATTTATAATTATTTGTAACTATTTTTTTAAAAGATTTTGTTGGGCACACATATAACTATAACTAATTCAATCTTTTAGAATCTAAATGTCATTATCCCCGGAAAAGTTCAAGTCAAAAAATTATCCCCAACAAAGAATTGTCATAACCGACAGCCCATAACTGCGATGGAAAAAAAAACATTAATTGTAATATTAGACGCCTTTAGGTAGCATTGAATAGTCATCAACGGTCTTATTTATTTCATTCAGTAGCCTAAAAGTTAGGATGGTATATTCCCTCCATTTAAAAAAATAAAATATTTTTTAAAAATTAAATATTTAAAAATATAAAATAATTTTAATCTTTTAAAATATAATTATTATTTTTTTTCAAACTCTTATTAATAATTTTTTATATTTATTATAGGGTATTTAATAAAAATAAATATGAAAAAATAGGGTTAGTTTAAAAATAGATAACTACTTTATTAGAGGATGAGATTTTATTAAAAATGCCTTACATTTTTAAATGGAGAGAGTAAGTGTTAGAAATACTATGATGATATAAAAAAATTGTTTTAAAATAATAGGTTTAAGTTTTGAAGAATCGAATAAAAAATGAAATATATTGAAGAACAAAAATATTTTTGAAAATATACTTTTATAAACTTTTTAATCTAGTAACCACCATTAAACAAACTTATAGCTTATTGATCTGAAAAATTTAAGTTTTTATGATTTTCTTAATTTGATATAATTCAGTCTCTATAATTTTTTTAATTTAATAAAATATAAAGATTAAGGTATGCAGAGTTAAAATTTAAAGATTCAATTAATAATTGAGAAAAAAATCAAAAAAAGTTATATTATCTCCTACAATTTTAAATAGACGCAAGAGGAAAACCCAATGTGGTCTCTTAAGTGTTGGAAAGATAATTTTAAAAATATTGTTCATTCTAAATTTAACACTATTCTTCTGGTTTTTATTTGGGCCAAATCATTATTCTTCAAGTAAGATCTAAAATTATTGAATAAATTATACTTTTTTTGTTAAAAAATGTAAGATATTTCTTGAGGAGTCAATATTAAAAAATGTAAGATATTTTTAATCTTTTGTGGTGTAATAATTATCTTTATTTTTTAAAGTGCCCTTATTAATAATGACTTTATATTTATTATAGGTTATGAAAAGATAAAGTTAATTTAAAAATAGTAATTATTTTATTGGGGAGTAAAATTTAGTTAAAAATGCCTTATATTTTTTAATAGAGGGAGCATGAATTTTAAGTTCTATACCTAAAAAATATTTTAAAAATTTGTATACTTTACACTAAAATATTTTACTATTAGTAACAACTAAAATATTTTATGAAAATTCAAAAAAAACATGAATATTGAATACTACAACTTTCGGCTAAAAAAAAAAAAGAAAGAATACTGCACGCGATGAAATTTACTAGTAATTGAATTGAAGTAAATGAAAAGGAAAAAGCAATAAAAGAGAAAAGGAAAAGGCAATAAAAGAAAAAACGAACGAGTGGGGCTCGGAGAACGTGATGAGGCACTCGAGCTTTGGACATCCTTAGCCTAATATAAATAAGCACTGCTTCTTTTTTCGTTCTCTATTATTTTCCACATCCTCGCGACAGACCCACGCAGATCACACACGCACCATTTTCTTCCGCTCTCTCTTTTGAATCCCTCTCTCTCTCTCTCTCTCTCCCCCCCCCAATGGCCGATCAGCTCACCGACGACCAGATCTCCGAGTTCAAGGAGGCCTTCAGCCTCTTCGACAAGGACGGCGATGGTCTCATTTCTCAGATCCTTTCCTTCTTTCCTGTTTTTGTTTTTTGGCTTTACTTTCGTTTCCTCGTTGTTTTCTTTATTTTAATGCATAATTTTGCTTTGTGTGTTGCTTAAATCTGGTTGCAATTGAACTTCCGTTGTGTCTGTTGAATTTTCTCTCTCGTCTTTGGAAATTTTGATATTATGTGGGGGATCTAGGGTTCCTTCACGTTTGACTTTTCGCTTTTGATTTGAGTTTGTGGATTTGTGGTGTGTGATTGTTGATGTGATGAATATTTTCATTCACTGCTTCTATGCCTAGGTGATCCTTTTACTCTCGCATTTCTTTTTTAAATTTCGGCGACAGATTTGATGTTGCCTTGGTAATGTGATCAAATGGCTTTTGTGGATAATAAAGTTGTCTCTCCTGATTTATGATTGTTCAATTTGGAGAGGGCATACTAAATTCAATGCATTTGATCAGAGTTTTGTTTTCTTTTTCTGTGGCGTGTGCTGGTGTTTCTGAGATGAAATAGCCCGTCAGTGACATTCAGATTGGACTTTTTATGTTAAGTCGATCTATTAGTGCCATCCTGTTTATGAGAATTATTATACTTCTGCTCGGAAGGAGGATCCGTGTTATTTAATTCTGGCCAGCATTATTGAATATACTTGGTAATACTTATTCGGAGATGCTTTTTACTTTTTGGGGTTGATGCTTGAGTTCAAAAATTGTGTTCAATCATTTGAAAATGGAAGTGTCTAATGTAGTGTTTTCCAAGGAATTAGTTGTCATTTAGAGACTGAATGATTTATCAGTTCCAGTACTTGCTAACCGGTATTTTATTTAACAGCAGAAATGAGACAATTGGTTGTTCTGTGTGCAACTTATATTGAAATGCCCCTTTGGGCGGTGGCTTCCACATACAGTCATTTACATGGCTCTTGAGAACTGTTGGTCGTGAAAATGATTTCCATATCTTTGGACCGATGGTCATTAATGTCTATTCTGTGGTTGCTGATAGCTTCTAGGTAGGCCTTCTTATAGAAGCTTCTTCTGGATAAGACTCCAGTAATGCGTGGAAAGACAAGTGCATTTGAAATTTGAAATTTTAAGTTTCTGATTCTCTTTTTTCCTTTTCCTCTTCCTCTTTCTTCATGTTTCTAATGGTGTGTTTTTTTCCTGTTTTAAGGGACTTTCTCCAGGGGGAATTGTTTATTGCCTTTGTGGTTTACCTATTTATTAAGTATCGTTTTGGCCATCAGCTATTTATTAAACGTTAAATATATTAATTTATTAATGTGCTGCAGGTTGTATCACTACCAAGGAACTTGGGACTGTGATGAGGTCGCTTGGGCAGAACCCAACTGAGGCTGAGCTTCAGGACATGATAAATGAGGTCGATGCTGATGGAAACGGTACCATTGATTTCCCGGAGTTCCTCAACCTTATGGCTCGGAAAATGAAAGATACTGACTCAGAGGAGGAGCTGAAGGAAGCTTTCCGTGTATTCGACAAGGACCAGAATGGGTTCATTTCTGCAGCTGAGCTCCGCCATGTCATGACAAATCTCGGCGAGAAGCTGACAGACGAAGAAGTTGATGAGATGATCCGCGAGGCCGATGTTGATGGTGATGGGCAGATCAACTATGAGGAGTTTGTCAAGGTCATGATGGCCAAGTGAGGGTTCCACCAGTGAACCATAATTTTAAAAGAATTCTATTTTAATTAGGGTATCTTTATTTGGTGTCATTAGCTTTTTTGGTCGGTTGTTTGGCTGTCTCTTTTCCTGTTTGTTGAAACCGTTACTTACTGTTGAGTAGTATCCTACTTGTTTGCTCTGCATCTCCCTCTTCCCTCCTTTGTTCTGTTTAGTAGGTCGGCTTAGGTTTGTTCCACCGTGTATTGGTCTACTCTTTTTTGGTTATTATGAACCTTCAAAATTGGATGCAATTTGTGTTGTTACTATTGGGTTACTAATCTTGTTAATATTTATTTACATATTTTGCTATATCGTTGTTTCCATTGCTTATATAGCCTTGTTGAACGAAGTAGGTTCTATTGGGAACCGTCCGACTTCTTGCCCATTTTATCCAATATATGTTGATATTGATGTGAAAGGGATATAGATTTGGTACAACTTTTTTGCATTTTCTTGTGCATTTTTTATTATTAATCATCAAACTATATGTAGGGTCTTGTGTAGGGTCTTGTATTATGGGTTAGAGAAAAAAGGATAATAGAATTTTCATATTTTGAAGTTTATTTCAGCTATTGATTTAAATTTTTAAGCTTAATTTTTATTAATTTGATCCTTGCTTTTTTTATTTTAAATTATCTTATAAGTCATCTGAGTCTCAAAATATAAATTGGTTCTTAAATTAATTTTACGCATACAATATATTGATAATTTGATCTGTATATGTAATTAAATAAAAATATATTAGATTTTAAATTAATTTAATTTTTATCAAATATCTTACGAAGTGTTTTATACTTTTCTTATATGTTTTCTTTTTATTAATATGTATGACTCCTATCAATATTTTCTTATCCATTTTATTAGACTTTAACAATACCAATTCCTTTTTAAACAACAACAAACAATATTAGAATTTAGGTGTTGTAGGTTACATAAATTGTATAATATCATTTTACAGAGTTGAGATAAAAAAGGGTTGTGTTAAGTTCTAAACAACTAATATAAAACTTTGTCAAATTATACATATGAATTTTTTAAATAATAAAGATTAAATTAATAATTGAGATAGATTTTAGGGATCAAATTTATGAAAAATAAACATGAGGGATCAAATTAAATTGATAATTTAGACAAATTTAAAAGATTAAAATTTTTATTATTAGTAAGAAAAAAATATTCAAAGGGAAATGCAATGGATATACAATATTCACAATGCTTTTCACTAATTCAAGTGAATTGGAAAAACCTGGCCAGCTTGTGTAACTCAAATCAAGTGTTTTACTTTACCTGAAAATACAATTTGCCAATTTGTGTTTTATTCTCTCAAATTAATATAAAGTATTGATAATTAATTTATGGTTTTTAAAAAATATTGGTTAAACCTTTAAATTTTTTAAAAAAAATTTGCACATTTTTAATTATATCTCATTAAATACCTTATATAAGTACTTTGATAATGATAATTAAAATTTTAATGCATCATTTTTTTAAAATAATAAATAAAGTTGGAGTATAATTAAAAATAATTATAAAAACTATCCAATAACCTATGTTTTCGATTAAATAAATCTGTTAGAAGAGATATTTTATACTGTGGAAAGTAAGACTCTCGGTCGTTGCATTGCATCTAGCCATCTGATTCTAGACATACTGTTTCTTTTAGAAAAAGGTGTACACATCAATGGACCATAGTCACAATCACCTTTGCATTTTTGGTGTAATCTTTTTTTTTTTTTTTGCCAAATTGGTGTAATCTAATACCACAACGGCACAACACATGCATGCGTTTTATATTAATATTTTATTTTGGGAAGACTCATAGTATATTCTACTGACAACTGAAATTAATCTTCCCTGGAGTACTGAGGGAAGGCAAATGGTAGATATTTTTTAACTAATTAAACTCATATATATGAGAGTTGAGATATAAATTTTTAATAATTTGCGCTCGAATGATAAGAGCATATACTATTATTGATAAATATAAATCGGTTTTATTAAAATATTAATTTATTAAGTTTTCAAAAACCTTATTTACTTGTGCTGAACTACTGTTGACTATGAAAATGTCATCTTGTTTGTTACATAGAGTAATTGATTTTATGACATAATGGCATCAATGCTAAATGTTAATCTCAAGAATTAAGTATACAAGTATTTGAAAGTTTAAGGTCTGATTTGATACAACTAAAACAAGGACCCAATTTTTAATTAGGTGAACATTTGAGAACCAAAGTTTTTTTTCATAATTAAAGGGTAGACAATTTTTTTAATTCCAAAATTTAATTAGAAATTATTTTTGAATAAAAAAATTTATACAATTTGAGTTTCATTCTTTGTTAATTGTTTTTATTAGACAGTATCATTAAGTTAAGGATGAGCAGTAATTAGAATCAGTTGGCAAAGAGCATCATTTAGGTCCTTTGTCTTCAAGGGAGGTGTCAATTTGGTCTTCTAAATATTTTTGTCTTCAAATTTTGTATTGATTTTGAATTCTTTTCTAATTTCTTCTTTCAAATTGCCACTCTTAAAAAACAAACAGAAGTATATTTGTTTGCTCTTAAGTCTTTGACCCAGCATCTACAATTTTAATTATAATTCTGTTCTAATAACTTAGTGGCAGCTAATAAAATACAATTAATGAGAATATGACTCATATTTTATAATGTGTTTTCTTACCTTTTTTTTAATATGAAAATATTGAAAAAGTTTATAGTAAAGAAGTGATGGGAGAGCAAAGCAAACTATTTTAACATTGTTAATTTAAGAGGGAGAAATTGAAACAGATTTCAAAATTAAATGGATAAATTTGAAACTATAAGAAAAAAAAAAATCAAATAGAAACCTCTCATCATGATGATTGATTAAAAGTCAAAACTCAAAACCATACTTTTGCCAAATCAGTTTGTTACGTAGATGAGTAAGTATTTTTCATATTATATTTTTAAATTAAGCAGAAATTATATCATTAACAAAGTCTGCCACCCCCAAATGTATCAGCAATGCTAAGAATAAGATGAGATGAATTATCCAACATCACCATCTTCTTCCACTTTTCCTTTTTTTTTTTTCACTTTACCTTTTATGATAAGTGCCAATCAATTTGCTTTGCACCTTGGCATGCAGTGTACTTTTTTTTTTTTTTTGGGGGGGGGGGGGCTGTTGTGAGTGTAAAGAGATCTAATCCATAAGAAAGATTCTCTCTCTTAAAATATTAGAATGGTTTTTTCTTCACTACTCCCCCCCCCCCCCCATTATTCTTCAATTGCAATTCTGAATCATTCAAATTAAACATATACTTTTAAAAATTATTAAATTTGATTTAACAGTCCAAATTTGCAGTCCTTCTCTGCCCTCCTTTGTAGAGGAGGAAAGCCAGCTCTCAAAATATTAAAGGCAAAGGGTAAATTTCTTTCAATTAAAATTACATATGCAAGGACTGAAATGTAAATATACAACCATAATAAGAACCCTGCGGCTCATATCAACTTAAGTTGGTGCTGTGTAATATTTTATATGACTCTTATTTTTATGCTTAAGAAAGTGATGAGAAAAGGCGAAAAACTTCTAACAATCACAAATGCAAGTGGATTCAGCAATATATCTTACAAAATTGATGAAACTAAACGTATGCCCATACATTATGTGGAATCTGAAAATGTGACATAGATTATATAGATGGATGATATTATATATATATATATATATATATTATGAATAAAAAATTTAGCCATTCATTCTTCAATTTCGTTCGTCAAAAACTAAGCTGAAGGAAAAAATTGAAAGTAATTTTATCCGGGACTTACGATTTACAAACTTAACTTTCAACAAATAGCACACCCCTCAACTTTGATGATTCTTTTTCTTTTCAACTTTGAAATTTGGATGTCAATCAGCATTCAACATCATAGAGCATAGCCATTGGCCCACAAAGATTAGAATTTGGATTTAATAGGTGGCTTAAATCAATTCACTTAATGAGCATTTAAATTATAAGCATTAGATAGAGTTGAGAATATGAGTTAACTTAAATCATATAAGTTGGCTTATGTAAGTTAGGTTAAGTTCAACTCATTTTTATATGAATTGAAAAAATCTTAAATTAACTTTTAAGAACTAGTAGGTTAAATGAGTTAACTCACTAACCCATTTTATTTTATTTTTTAATTTATTTTTTTGTAAATTTTTTAAAAAAATACACTTAAATGAAAATGATGATGAGTTTCACTATGACATTACTTCATTATTTTTTAAAATTTGTATAAAATAAATGAATTGAGCTAGTTAGGCCACACCCATCAATTTATCAAATGTCATGAATCTATCATATTTCTTATTTTTTACTTTATTATTTTTATTTTCTTGAAAAAAAATATGGGTTAAACGGAACAATCCTAAGCCATTAGAGTTAGCTTATATGATTCATGAATTATCTAATCTAAGTAAGAAAAAATTCATTTTTATTTGGATCAATTTTTTTCAACTCAACCCAATTGTCATGACTAGTTATTCAAGCCAAGCCATATGACCCTAATCATATTCCTAAGTCTGCATTAAATTTCATCAATACTTGATAATTATCAAGATATCTTTCCTTCAAAAAATTTAAAATAATTTTCATTATCAAAACATTCATCATGTACACTATCCCTTCCAAAAATTTAAATTTGATACTTTTTCAATATTATAAGACAAAATAATGATAACCGCTTGATTTGATCAAATGATTGTTATCATATAATGTGAAATGCTCATGAGTGAATTTAGATCACTCGCCAAAATCAAATACCAAAAAATAGGGGCTTCCTACATTCACAGATTCATTTATTCAATTTATGAGGTGAGAAATAGAAAAACATGACTATATATAGAATCCACATCTCAATTACTACATTGAGATAATAAAACTTTCGGTCCTTCAAGTGTATGATAGTTATCAATTTAATCTATTAAATTTAATTTTTTTATTCAGTCCCTTATTTTTTTTAAAAAAATTATCATGCTAGTCCTTTAAATTTTAAAATATAAATTTATTTTCAAATTAATTTGTTGTATAAAGTATATTGATGGTTTGACATCTACATATAACTAAGTGATAACAAGTTAGCCATCAAATCAGTTCAATTTTAATCAGTCTAGCCCCTTGCACTGTCTTGCACTTTTAATTTTTTTTAAAAAGTTTTTGCGCCTATTTTTTTGCAACATAAATAATTACACTTTTTCGTTCATATACATGATGGTCATCACTATTCTGTTATACATATTAACATATTTTAACAATTAAATTAATAACTGAAACAAATTTAAAGAACTAAATAGAAATTAAAATTAAGAAATCAAATTAATAATGGAAACAAACTTGAAAGACTACAAATTTCATTATCCTCACTACATTCATCTATTCTTTTCTCGGCCCCCCAAAACGCATCATGTTAATTCTCTTTTATGAATGCAGGAGATCTGAAAACCTTCTGCAAGGTTTGAGAATTGAGATGATGCCACTGGGGAATCATCCAAGGGTCCAATATAAAAAGACGAAGTTCTTATACCTATTGTATGCTTAAAGCTTTTATTTTTACAGGATGAAGCTACCAAAAAAGAAAGAGAGAAAGAAGAAAAGAAAAGGATGTTACATCCCTTGTGTCTTACTTTTTGTACTGTGGTTTGTAGAGGACCACTGTTACATACTTGGATTGGAACCTGTGGGTCAATCCAAGGCCAATAACAGACTGGCAGGCTGAGTTTTCATCAGTGAAGACATGGTTTAGCACCACATGTTTAGGCTTTGAGTTTGAAGGAGTACCTACATTTGAGTTCTCTTTGTTTAGGACAGTGAGGTGTAGCAGCGACGGAACAGCCACCGGCTCTTTTGCAAAGTCTTCGTCGGTTAGGAATGACTGACCATAGCTAGAGTCCGGAGACGGTGGAGCCTCAAATTCAGTCACACATTTGGGGATTTCAGGCACGTAATCCTGCAGAAAACAAAGGAAGAACAGTTCAGGTCAAATTTTTACAAGAACAGAAAATTCAAAACAATTTTTTTTTTTACTGTATGAGATCGCTGTAATCAGGTGAAGTGATGATGGGCTTAATGGGATAATGATGACATTAATAATCAGTAATAAAGCAGGATTATTATTTTCTAAGTAAAAATGGTCATAAGATAATTGTGCACAAATCAATGGTGTAATATTCTTATCATAAGTAACATAACATCAAACCAAGTCAATGTTGAGAACTAAGTTTGGTACTTAAAATGGTAGTATAAATTAATAGAAAATATTAAGACCTCATTTCCTACATGTAGTGATATAGGAACTTACAGGAAAAAATTACTTATTTTTTCAAGGGTAGAATTAAAATTGTACGAGGACTTGTATGGAAATTTTATTTTTCAATAATTATTTTATAATTTTATTAATAATATAAAATAAAATGACTCCATTAATTTGACTTGACCTGGCATTAGACCAGACCCAGCCAGGTCGGAGCACCACACGATGCAAAATCAAACTATCTAGGCCCAACCCATCCCCATTATGTTGCCCTTATTGCATTGGGTGAAGAGGGTTAAAGATGACAAGAGGCACCAGAACAGTGTAGACGCACATGATAAATAATGAACCTTTATTTGTAATCCTTTTTTAATGATAAAATGACATTCATTTCTCTAAAAATTAATATAACACAATAAATAGGATATATATATATATATATATTTGTAGGTAAATCATACTGTTGTCAATGTAATTAATTTTTATTCTATTCGACATTATCAAACATAAAATAATATTATCCTATGCAATGTTTCACCAAACTTGCATAATCTTAAAATTTACTCACATAACTTGGTATGCATCCACCAAATATGGTACATTCTCCTCTTAAATTTTCTGGATGCTAATATGCATCTCATACTCAAATGTCCTTCCATGCATAACCACAAAACTTGTGTTCCAAATGCCATCAAATCAAAGTATACAATTTTCTACTGCATGAACAGAAGTCATAAAGGAGTTTTTCAATCATCACATGTTATTGACTATTTCCATACACCAAAAGCAGGAAGTAATTCTTTCCCCAAATCTTAGGTTAAGTGGACATGATCAAAGCTCAGAATTCATTAACTCTTTCTTCTCCCCAATCCAATTTCCTCCTAAAAAGTAAAAAATAGAAGGCAGAAAACAGCCCTTTAGGTTGTTAACCTAACTATCTATTTATTTCTGGTGCAACTTAAAAGTTATTCTAAGATTGTACCATTTTTTACAATTGAATTCTCTTAAACTATTCTTGGAGAAATCCTATTTAAAAAAAAAAAAAGTTACACAACCTAATAAAATGTATAGAGAAGTTTTTTAAAAATGTTATACAGAACGTGAAAGAAGCTGCATTGTTAATGACTTATGAATAGTGTCAGTAGATTATATGTTTAATGTTTGATCGGAAGAGTCACCTTCACACCAAAACAAAAATCTACAAGAAATCATATTTACAATTGCTAACATGGAAGGATGCACTTTATTTGAGAAACGGAAAGTTCTCAAAATAATTCAATGTTATGTCATAAAGGGAAGAAAAATGAAGGGGAAAAATTATGCTCACATTAACATCAAGAAGATTGTAGACATGGCCCATCTCATTAGCTACATGAGGAAACTCCGGAAGATACCTTGGTTGGCCATCAACAACGAATTTGTAGTGATATATGCCCAATGGAAGGACCATTAAAATCGAGTAATCCTTGCCAGATCTCTGCAGTATCTGCCTGCAAGTAATAAAAATTCAACTGTGCTATAATGTTCATTACTGAACATCTGCAACTATAATTACTTCCATGTTACACAAACAATAAAGTTGGCAATTACCAAAGCAAAAGTGAAAGATTCTAACCTATGTGTCCAATTATCCCAAGATCCCTCGACACACACATGGTTACCACCATGATGCCATGTTAGTATGACAGGAATTTGTCGCTCTGGAGGTTGATCAACAATTCCATGGGATTCGTTCTGCCTAATATGATTGAGAAAAGGAGGGACGTTACCTCTTGGAAATGAGGCAACAGCAACCTTCAAAGCGCAAAGAAGAATGACACTGATAAGATCAACACATTTTTCAAATATATAAAAATAGAGAGTAATAATTAAATGCCAACTAAAAATGCTTGCATCTTTCCACAGGGAAAGCTTCATACACTTGTGGCTGATATTTACCAACACGCATGTATGTTCACTTTCAAATTTACATTCATTGAAGTCAATATAATTAAATAATGTTCAATATAAAGTTTAACCTACCTGTTAATTATTCAAGTCTTAACTCTTATATGAAGAATATATATTCTTCTTAAATTTTAAAAGGAGTCAAAAAAGTAGTGGGAAGCTAATGATTGAACAATCGCACACACTTCTCTTTTTCACAACAATCAAGTATTATAAAGTCAAATGGCCGTCCTTTCTACCCCCAAAAAAAAAAAAAAAACCCTTCACAAAAACAATTTAGAAAATAACATGTTTTTTGGTGTTTAACCATTTCCATGAAGGAAAATGAAATGCAACATCAAGTTCAATCCTACAAACTTCCGTTTAAGCAGTATCATCTTATCATGTAAGCTCCATAAAGTTAATTCCAAAATCCATTTCAGCCTTGTCAATCGATGCATATGAATTTTTCAAAAAACACAACATAAAAGTCACAAGAACAGAGAGACCAATAATTAAAAAGCTAAGTTATAAAGGCTTTCTTGAAGTCTTCTTTATGCAATCTTATCAACTTCAAGTCAACGTGATTTATTGCATGCAAACTTTCATCAGAAAATGGCCGGCCTTTCAATAAAAAAAAAAAAAAAAAGAACTAGAACAGAGAGAACGAGACATAGGACTTTCAAGTCATCTTCTCATTGCAATATAAATAATAGAATGGAGAAACTTCTCAAAATCAGCATCTTTGAGCCTATCATTTGAGCAAAAGTATTTATAGAGCTCTATTTCATACTTGCACAAGATTAAACCATCTGAGAAACCAATATAATCAGGGAAATACAGAGACAAAAGACAAAATGATTGAGATAGTCACCAGAAGTATTAGATCCTTTTCAATATCTGGGCCTCTGAAATCAACTGGGGGCTACAAGAAAAAGCAAACCTAGCTGAAATCCCTTCTCCCACAACACACACATAGTGGTGTGTAGGGAATACAAATACAATGTGGGAGTTGAATTTAACCAATTCAAAGCAAAGTCAAAATGAAATCATTCTTAAATAAGAAAGATATTTAATATTTCAAGGAGATTAATTCGTATAAAGTTTATTAAATATACAAAGTAATGTAATCAATTTTCACAGATAATCATATTAATCAAGGATAGGAGTATCCAATTATAAAGAAACCATGTCTTGATGGCCAATCTTAACAATGAACATAAAAAAGGCTGACAGAATCCAATGCCTAATAATTCCTTGAGTTGAGTGTCTTCATCTTTAATTTTGTTTTCTAATGCAGGTGTACAATCATCCAAGGATTCCAAATGTAAGTTCAGTGAACCAAATTTATCAGCATGAAAATTCTCGCTTGGTGATCTTCTTTCATTGTATTGTTTTTATGATTGGGGAAACCAACTGGACAATATTTCAAGTAATTCAAGGGAATAAGACAAATAGCTGGAATGGTGAAGAACCACATCACACATTTGTATGCGAATGAGAAAGGCTACTGGTACAACCTGTTAGAAAATAACCACTCATCTGCTGTTGCGGCTGCATATGAGTTTGACCGAAAAAGTTAAGCACAGTTTCTGCCAGAAGAGATGCGTAAATAACACTAATCGCAATAAATTTAGATAGAACTTCTATTCCCAGATCGAATTCTAAATCACTCACACTTTGTTACTAATTAAATTACCTTGCAACGGTGTCATCTAATGCAGTGCAATACTATTCTGTCTTTCAAATGCTTACTCGGACATTGCTTTACATGTCGTTGCTCAAATAACACAATGTCTAAGAATAGGAAATTGACAGCTGAGGTCAGATGTCACGACTCATGATGACTAACATAAAACAAAATTAGCATTTTTGCCCCAATAAAGTAGGTTCCTTAAACAAACATTCAAATCATTGACATTTCAAACAGCAACGCTCACTAACATACATGCACAAGATGTCCAAACTGCATGGAACTAAGTGGCTAAACCAAGCAAACAACTTACAGAACACTGCAGTCTCAATTACACGCAATTCACACACATGGACCGTCTGATTTTAACGTTAACGTTAACAACAATCACTACAACTACAACAAGTCCAGCAGAAAGGAGGGGATGGAATGAGACAGGACTCGGGAAAAAAATCAGAACCTGGCTCTGATATCATATGGAATAGAGATTTGGAAAAGTAATTAGTGAATATACTGAGCTACTGTCTTATTTATAATTGTATATACAAGACAAAGGAAGAAAGGGTAATAATTACTAAAGATACATATTGATCTATCTAATATAATCTAAGCCCTAATATCGTATAATGAATATAATATCTACTCTGATTCGTAACAATGTCTACCAGTTCTGTGCGGAATTGACAACATTATTGTTTACGCAGCATTTTTCATCTAAACTGGTAATATAGAGCGAAGTATATGTACAATTACGGAAGTAAGTTATTAAACCTCAGAACCAAATCAAGATCGCACAACCATGATGACAGATGACAAAATTCTGTAAACAGCCTACAGTCTAAAGTGATAAGGGCCCAAAATTTACAGTGTTTCTGATCTAATGCACTCTCAGAATTTTAAAACCTCCATCCCGTATATTCTATCAAAATTTCAAAACCAGCCACATTATTTTCAATTACGTTCGTCAGAATTGTTGGGATGCAAGAAAGGGGCAATGGTCAAGAACAGAACTCTCAGCTCTGTTAGATCGCGCGAGTGTTATTTTTTTCTCCCCAAAAATCTCCATACAATGTTTGAAGATTTGACGCCACAACACAAGCTTTAAATATCTATAATTAAATTTTTTTCCAAACAAATGCCCCTTTACACTGGTGTTTCATCTCTCTCTCACACTCACACGTCTCTGCTCCCCGCGCGCGCGCACTCACGCACCAAACGTACTACAATTGAAAGGAGCTACTCACCAAACAAACATACAATAAGGCAAAAAAAGCTTTAAACATTACTCGACCAAATCCGTTCCTGCACCTTCACACAAATTGAGAATCACTTGGAAGTGGGAACACAATATCAGTAACACCGATCCAACACCAACGAAATAGTGGGTTAACCAAACCAAAACTCCATAACCAATCAATTGTGCATAAAAATGTACCAGCACACGCATTTAAAGTAAAAATAGCATGCATTGCGCGCATGCAAATAGAAACGACAACTCAGAAATTGAAGATAACCAGGAAGAGCTGTCAACAAAAAAGGCTGAAACCTGAGGAACGGACAAGATCGGCAACCTCGACGGCGGAGCACTGGAAGTGGGTCGAACCGGAGGCCGAGAATCCAACAGGAAATTCCCACGGAGGCCAGGATCAGCAGCGGCGTATCGATGACCATCCCTGCCAGCGTCTCCAACTTCTCTTCCGTTAGCGTTTCCCATGGAAATCCTCCAGAAAACTCACGCTTCAGATTCAAAGCAAAGCGAGAACGACAGCACAGAGCCTTCTTGAGGTTGGAGACAGTGGGGGGGAATGCAGAAGCAGAAGTGGCATAAGAAGCAGAAGATGACGAAGGTGGTTGGAATAAAAGACCATGAAGGAGTTTCAGAAGAATTATGAAACGCGAGCTGAAGCGGAGGGAACCTCTCTCTTCAGGCCTGCCATGGACGGAGAGCAGAGAGAAGCGAGACAGAGAGAGACTTCTTTACTTACAGAAGGAAGCTGCTGAATGCTGATGCAGAAAATTTTGTTGGCTCTCTCTACGTATTTTTTATTTGGAAGAATTACATTGAAATGTTACAAAACAAAAAATTAATTATTATAAAGTGTATTATTATTAATATAATTTAATTTAATTATTAATAAATTTTATAAGAATTAATTTTTTTTGTATGAGACTGATTGTAATTTTTTTTAATTTTTATTTTTAAAGTTTTAAACTTGAATGATGAAATTTTAATTTATTAAATTTGCATTAATTACCAACTAAATTTTAAATTTAAGTTTTATTGATTGAAATATAAATTTATTTTAATTATTAATTTAATTTTTATCTATTAAAATACATTAATAACCAAAAATTGATAGCACTTGCATAAATTAATAATTTAGTTCTTTGTGTTAAAAAAAACTGTCAATAATTTTAAAAATACAGAAAAATAAAAAAAATAAAGATTTAGATTAATAAAAATTAAAATAATTTAAAAACTAATTTATTTTTATTTAACTATATATACATGAAAAATTATCAAAATACTTTGCATATTCAATTAATTTAAAAGTAAATTTATATTTTCAAACTTAAAATATTAAAATAATAATTTAAAAAATATAAAAATTAAATTAATAATTAAAATAAACTCAAACACTAAAAAATTTTACTACACGTTAATTTTTTATTTTTTCGTACCACAACAAGTCTACTACGATACAGTACTATTTGTCCATTACCCGTGTTTGTCGCTCACACGCCACCTGCGAGTAGTAACTCTAATTTTCAGTCCACAATATTTCTCAGTTTAACTTTATTGAGAATCTTGGCCCACAGAAAAACTTGTTGAAATTAATATTAATTATTAATCATTAATAAATTAATAAATAAATAAACAAAGCATCACATAAAGAAACAACTTTTCTTACATATTACTCAACCCAGATAATTTGCTTGAATATTTGTGATTCTAGAACAACATAAAATAAGACAGCTTATATAAATAATAAATAATCAATATAAGAATTTATAGCCAATTATCCTATTACTATTGTCTATTTATAAGTGATAAATTATCTGTTCTTCATTTTAAATTATGTGTAAACTATTTTTTATTTTTAAAAATTTATGGTGAATCACTTTTTTGTAAATTAGGGTGAGTCATTTAAATTTTTTTTTTTGCATAGGTAACACTTATTTTATGATATTTATATTTTTAAATCACTGAATATATATGACTTATAGTATTAAAAAATATGAAATTATAGATATCAAAATAAAATTAACTTATAAATATCAAGCAAGATTGACAGAAAGATAGTAATAATAAATTATTTAAACTCTTTCAGCAAAAGAAAAAAATTTAAACCACAATAACAACTAATCCTTTTCTTTTGCCAACTATCCTAACTTTGGTTTTTTTAAAAAAAAAATAGCCAAGTAAATTAAACAATATTCGCTGAGTAAATTTACAATAAAACTATTCTGTTTTATTGTAATATATTTATTATGAATTTTAAATTTCAAGAATTAAAATAACTCATAAAAAAAACAAGGGGAATAATTTTTAAATTTGGCGATACACCATGTGTTATACTATACTATCTTCGAGAAACGAACAAAAGAATATTGTACCCATCAGGGAGCATGATGCTTTATTATTACGAGAATCGATGCCATTTTAATGGCCAAAATTTACTTTCTCTTTGTTCAGTCTTGTTTCGAGGTATAATATAAAAGTCTAGACAAAGAAAAAGTAATATAACATCTAAGAGATAAAGAAATTTTGTTAGAGTAAAGTTTCATATATATGTAAATAAACAAAATAAATTAGAATTTATACTAATTTAAAATTTATCAATATAATTTTTTATTTTATGTTTTATTCTTTTTTAAAAAATTTTAGAATATATTTTATCTTTATTAAATAATTTTATTTATTATTTATATGAATATGTCAACAGATTTCAAAAGTATTACTTTCTTTTAAAATAATAAAAATTAAATTGATGATTGAAATAAATTTAAATGATCAAATTGATAAAGATTAGACTTGATGGAGTAAATTGATAATTAAAATAAATTTAAGAAATTAAAAGCTATATTATGTCTAAAATTTAAAACTAATAAATAAATTAAAAATAAAATCGCTGCGAGTGGTTGGCGCGTGAGGTTCTTGCGGGGAGCTGAGTGTGAACTTACGCGGCCAGAAGAGCCCACGTGTGGGACGCTGGTGGGGGAGCCGCAATGAGAAGTGCGTGGTGGGGGCGTGATAGTCACGTGATGTCCTAAGGAATTGAGGGTTGTGGGGTGGATAAGATTCTCGTGTGCTTTGTTTCTTTTCAATTTTAAGTGACAATGGAATCATTTTGGACGTCTCGCCCAAATAGGAAATGATTCCTCGTTAGTCACAGACCAATCAAATATTTAAATTTATCAAGAAAAAAGAAAGAAAGAAAGCTTTTGACAACTTTAATGTATCATACACTTTCAGTAGATTTGCATTGAGGTTACCCGCTGTATAATGAAATACCATAGGCTTTTTTAACACCTTAGCTTAGTAAAATGATTATTATATTCAGTTATCATTTCGTTATTTATCAACAGGCTCTAAAATATTTATAGAGATGATAATATTAGTCAATTTACGAGTTGTGGGTTTGTTTGGCATAAATCACAAGTTAATTAGGTGGTTAAAATTAGCTCGCTTCATAGTTAAAAAAATGTGAATTCAATTGATCATAGTTCAGTTGGTGAACAATGCACCAACTTACATGACTTTTTCTTTTTGAGTTAAGGTCTTTTTATTTTCAAAGTGTTCACGCAGGATCAATTTTTTGAAATTAAGATCTGTGGCTATTTTAAACTCAATTTTGGATCAAAACATCCTTGAATGTTAAAAAAAAAAAAAAATTGTTCCTACCCTATCTTTAATGCATCCGTTGAGCAATTTTTTTGACCAAAAATGTTCACATGGCATCCACTTGATAAATCACTTTTGTCCCCAATATATTCACTTTGAAACACTTGATACCCTGAATTGATTTTGAGTATTTTTCCTTTAAACGTTATGTATGCCCTATTATTAACACACCACATAAAGACGTTAATTTAAGTTAATAAACTATATAGATGACATGCAAGTGAATGTTCAATAAGAAATTAATTAAAAAAAGTCCTCTGTGAAATCATAATCATAAATTGAATTTACAAATTTCCTTCATATATACACTTGACGACTCAACTGATTTTCTTTTTTTTTTTAAAAAAAAAATCCTTCATATAAACACTTGACTCTGATTTTTTTAAAAAAAAAAAAATTCCTCCATATACACACTTGTCAGTTAAGAGATTATATTTATTTTAAATATTGCATCTACCAAAATAAAAATGTATAAAAGTTATCAAGAATATAAGATAAAAATAAAAAAAATTAAATCTAAATCATTTAAATTAAATTTTAACAATTCACGTTTCATCAAGGGTCATGAGGACCAGAAGACCAACCCATTAATGACATTCCATCCTATCATCTGGATTTTATGAGACTTTTAAGAAACGCCTCATTATGTTTAATGTGAGTATGACAAGACAAGCAAATAATCTTCTACAAAATGGCACACATAGCACCGTCATCAAAAGCCCTGCATTGCTTATATCAACAAAATCCCGTTTCGTTGTTAAAAATGAGAATGAAATGTATTAAAAAAAATAAAAATAAAAATAAATTAAATTATCCTTTTTCCTTACAATAAACATGATAAAATTTCTTAAATCATGACTCTCAATTCCTTAAATTAAATTGCCCCTCTCTCTTATAAAAATGATTCACTTATCCCCTTGAATATTTTAATCATCTTATTTTTACTTTTATTTTTTAATTCATTCTATTTCTTTCAACCAACAAAAGAAAACCTAAACTAAATAAAACCGAGGTAGGCGCAGAGGTACAGGCTAGAATCCCTCATCCTTAAAGGCCGAAGTAATTTTTCCAAGCACGAACCAGGGGAACCAAAAAAAAAAAAAAAACCATCCGGTTTCTTTTCCCAGCTAACCGGTTTTTCTCGCTTTCAACCGGTCTAAGTCAGATCTAGCGCTGAGTGAACTCCGAGCCAGACCAAGTGCCGAGTTGCCAGTTTTCCAGTCAGACTGGGAAAAAGTTGCATTACAAATTGCAAAACAGAAGGATGCTTCACAATATCCCACTCTCCGACTAAATGATTAATGCAGGCGGATCATGCAATTCTCCACCAAACACTATTTTCAAAATGCCAAAATATACATATATTCCAACTCAGCCTTTTTAACATCTGAAAAACTAAAATTTCACTACAGAAACAAAGGAAACAAAGAAGCTTTAAAAAAACATCGGTTGGAGGTTGGCTGACAAGAGTCTTGAAAATGATCAACAGTGTTACATACTATGCCCCTTCAGCTAGGGTCCTCTTTGAGGTACTGATGTACAGAACTGCATCGCAGACCAAGAAAAGAAAATCAAGTTAGTGGTACAATCAAACGTTTCCTCCAGTCTCACAATATAGGACACTAGTTGAAATCTTAATCTTCAAAAAATTTATACATCTTTCCAATTATACTCTCATTAAATACCCTATAGAAGTGTCTTAATAATGACAATTGAAATTCTAACAAATCATTTTTTTCAAAAGTAAAAACAAATAAAGGGTATAATTGGAAAGAAAATTATAAAAAATCCCAAATACCCTATATTTTGGATCAAATAAAACTTCCAGCATTACCATTATTTCCTCTAATGAATGCATCGCCATACTTGTTCTTCAATTGTCCATTGACATACTCTTCCGTTTGTTCCATGGCAATATTCATATAGCCATCTAGACAAGCAAGAATACCTGAGAACATGATCAAATAGTGTCAAGCCACTGTGTAATAGCTGCAAACATAAAGTACAGCCACGAGGCAACTCCCATAGCAGTGTAACACAAAAACATGCACACCACACCAGTGTTTTGTTTGGGACCAACAGTAAAAAAGAAAGCCACCTAATGCAAA